AGGAGGTGATCCTTGAATATTACCCAGCTTTCTTGGGCCCCTCTTCCCTCCAGGGCTTTGTCCCATGGCACTCTACCAAGCAGATCCCTGAAGAGGCCAAAGTCTGCTCTCCTGAAGTCCAGGGTAGTGAGCTTGCTGTGTGCCCTCCTCGGTGCCCTAAGGATCTTGAACTCCACCATTTCATGGTCACTGCAGCCTAGGCTGCCCTTGAGCTTCACATTCCCTACCAGCCCCTCCTTGCTGGTGAGAACAAGGTCCAGCATAGCACCTCTCCTCGTTGGCTCCTCTACCACTTGGAGAAGGAAGTTATCATCAGGATAACATAATTCCAGGAACCTCCCGGATTGCTTATGCCCTGCCGTGTTGTTCCTCCAACAGATGTTGGGGTGGTTGAAGTCCCCCATGAGGACCAGGGCTTGTGAGTGTGAGGCTGCTCCTATCTGCCTATAGAGGGCCTCATCTGCTCAGTCTTCCTGGTCAGGTGGCCTGTAGCAGACCCCCACCGTAATATCACCTGTCCCTGCCTTCCCTTTAATTCTGACACATAAGTTCTTGGTCAGCTCCTCATCCATCCCCAGGCAGAGCTCCATGCACTTCAGCTGGTCATTGACATAAAGGGTGACACCCCCTCCTCGTCTCCCCTGCCTTTCCTTCCTAAAAAGCCTGTATCCCTCCATCCCAACACTCCAATCATAGGAGCCACCCCACCACATCTTCGTGATGCCAATAAGGTCGTAGCCCTGCAGGCGTGCGCACGTCTCTAAACTGCTTGCCTTGCAGTCATCTGAAGATATTGTAGTGTTGCCTGAATCAGCCTTGGTATGGTACTCTTATGCCTTTCTTTAGAAACTTGGCCTTACATGACATATCACTGAATATCAAACTTTTTAAATAGCTGCTACCAGCTAAAGAACTTCAAAATTTTTAGTAACAGGCAGGAGTTAATTTCTCGTGAGGCCTGGGAATGTATTTTTAGCCTTATTATGGGGAAAATTTCTTGGAATCTATTGTTATGAAACAGAAACATGTATGTCCTTCAAAAAGAAAACATCAGACTTATTTAAGGTTGGGAGGTCTGTTGTACAGCATAGCATGTCTAGAATTGTGGCTCAGACTCACTGTGGCCTCTTGATTATCTTGTACTAGGGGGTTTGCCTTTTTAAATTATAATTGGAGATAATTATATTCACCCGCTAGATG